AGTCATCCTGGTTTAAGTGGCCTGGAGGGAATATATTAAACTGACTTGCATTGTCAACGAAAATACAACACTTAGCTATATATCAACTTTAAGAGACTTTGACCTATGAAAGTACTGATTCATCTCATATATTTTGTGTCTCTCTTTGCCCTTGGGGTTCCCTCGTGTCAGTCTGGAGAGTTTTTCAGCACTTTCAACAGATCCCTTAATGCTCCAAGGCTTCTGTGGGTCACCTTGCCTAGGCCTCTTTCCTCTCTAGACCAGAGGTTTATCAAGCTGGATGTACAATAAAATCACCTGTTTTTGTTTTGTTTGTTTTGTTTTTATTTCAATGCCCAGGCTCCACTCCAGGCCAAATGAATCAGTATCTTTAGAACTGGGGGCAGAGTGTGGATATTTTTTAAAAGCTCCCAGAAAATTCTATTGTGTAGCCAGGATTGAGAATCACTGCTTTTGATAGTTTAAAAAAAAAATTGCAGAAGCTACACATTCTTCTAAATAAATTATAGTTAATCTTACAAACTAAATATATTAATGTTCTAGTCCCACCCAAGTTACATCTGTGCATTTAACTGGAGCTCTCTGATGACAGCCCATAACACCAAGAATTTGTTTTCTTGGATTGCTTTTAGGCAGGACCAATTCAGGGGAGTAATTATTTGGTGGGAAGGGGAGACCTACGAAATGGGCTGACCTGGAATGGTAGTAACTCAATCTACAGTGTCTTCTGAATTGGAATTTAAAGAGAGTAGAACAGAAAACCCTCCAACCATCTGGAAGTCCCCAGAAGAAGGGTGATGATGTTGGAAAGTGGCAGCTATAATCATCTTGACCCCTTTGTCAGGTAATCATGCTGTCATGCCGGGGTAAAAAATGTGTTGGCCAGGCACAGTGGCTCATGCCTGTAATCTCAGCACCTTGGGAGACCAAAGTGGGCAGATCACGTGAGGCCAGGAGTTCGAGACCAGCCTGGCCAACATGGCAAAAACCCATCTCTATAAAAAATACAAAAATTAGCCAGGTGTGGTGGCGCACACCTGTAATCCCTGCTACGTGGGAGGCTGAAAGGAGAACCGATTGAACCTGGGAGGTGGAGGTTGCAGTGAGCCGAGATGGCAATGAGCTGAGATGGTGCCAGTGCACTCCAGCCTGGGTGACAGAACAAGAAAAAAAAAAAGCCTTATCCTGTTAGCTTGTGAGAGCTCAGGCTTTGTGTTCAGACTTCTTCTAGCTGAAGATCACGTCTGGTTCAGCTAAGAATGAAAGCTGAGCAGTAGCGTTCCTGACTGGCTGCAAGTGCTTCCATTGTAGAGTCCATGTAAACAGGCTATTCAAAATTGGGGATTTGTTTTTGCCTCTCCGCAGTTTCAAAGGTGCATTTGCCTTTGTGCAGTCCAGCTCAGACTTGGGTTTCTCGCAGGCCACGTTCAGGATTGATTGCGTTCCTCTGCTGAAGGAATAGCTCTCTCTCCCCTGGACACATTGCTTCTCAGATGCCATAGCTCATTTATTGGAGAGCATTTTTAAAACCAGATTCTTTTTACTGCTTCCAGTTTCAAATCCACTTGACACTCAATTTTCTTTCTCACTCAAGAAATGCTTTGATTTTGTTTTTTGTTTTTTTTTTACCTATGGCCCCCTGTAAGTCAGGAATGAAAATAAATATTGAATTTGTTAAAGATATGAATGCTGAAGTACTTAGGGAGAAATGTACTGATATTTGCAATTTACTTTTGAAATGCAACCAAAAAACTAAGATCAATTGATAGATGAATAGAAGGATGGCTGGATCTATGATAAAATAAGTACGGTAAAATGTTGATGATAGAATCTATGTGGTAGGTATATGGATGTTTTTGTAAAATTCCTTCACCTTTGCTATATATTTGGTATATTCATTATAAAATGTTGAAAAAAATTAGAATATGAAGAAAAAAATAGTTTCTTCATCCAAATTATGTCAGTGCTTGATTCAAGACCTGTGAACACGGACCAGCAGGTAAGAACCACTCTGCTTGGAGTACTAATTATGAGTGACATTACTACCAAGAAGCCTATGTAGAGTCTTCTTTTTTTTTTTGAGACAGAGTCTCGTTTTATCATGCAGGCTGGAGTGCAATGGCATGATCTCGGCTCAGTGCAACCTCTACCTCCCACGATCAAGCAATTTTCCTGTCTCAGCCTCCCAAGTAGCTGAGACTACAGGATTCAAATTTTTATCCTATCATCATGGCCATGAAATCCTGTTAAACATCTAGTATTAAATGAAGTGTTCTAAGCCAGCATAATTCTTTTTTTCTTTTTTCCCCCACTTTAGATCTCAAGTGCCCAGAACTAGACTCATTGTAATAATCCTCAGATACCCTCTCATCAATGGCCCATGCATGGATCACTTCTTTTCATTTATTATTTGGTCATTTATATTAATCACCTGCAAACCCACACCTAAAACAAAAGCCACCACCTTGACAACCTACATCCAACCACGTGGTTTCCTTAGCATCTTCCTCCGTCATCCTGACATCCCTGGTCATTATTCCCACGCTTTTATATATAAGTGTGTGTAGGAATATAGATGTTCTTTCTATATGTATGTAGTCCTTTAAAAGTATATATTCTTTCTTGTTTTTAACTTTATAAAAATGTATATTTAGCCGGGTGCAGTGGCTCACGTCTGTAATACCAACACCTTGGGAGGCTGAGGTGGGTGCGTTGCTTGAGCTCAGGAGTTCTAGACCAGCCTGGGCAACATGGCAAAACCCTATCTCTACAAAAAAATACGAAGAGTAGGCAGGCGTAGTGGTGCACAGCTGTAGTCCCAGCTACTCAGGGGCTTAGGTGGGAGGGCTTTGCCCCACAGGTCAAGGCTGCAGTGAGCCGAGACTGTGCCACTGCACTCCAATCTGGGTAAAAGAGTAAGATCCTGTCTCAAAAATAAAAATAAATAAAAATAAAAGATATTTTATTTTGATGTGTGTTTTTTTCACTTAATATTATTCTGCAGAAATTTATCCATACCATGGCAAAATCGCTGTGGTTCATTTGTCTACTATATAATATTGCATTAGGTGAATTCACCATTTATTTACCATTCTCAGTGACAGGCATTTGTATCCAGGTTTTGGTATCATGAACGTTCTCATACCTATACCCTAAGTATATGGGCAAGAATTTATCTTAGGTCTATACCTAGGAGTGGAATTGCTAGTTATTAGGGTATATCAAGGTTCAATATTAGGAGAAAATGCCAAACTGTTTTCCAAAGTGGTTGCACCATTTCTACTTCCTCCAGTGATTGTCTCTATTGCTGGGCAGCATCCACTGCAGTGGAACATGAGATAAGCTAACGAAATGATTTAATATTACCGATACATGAATAGGTTGAATAATGAAATGGAAGGTTCAAGATATGCCTCTTAAGGATGAGAGGACAGTCTCCCCCTCGGCTGATATTCATTGGTGTTCTGTCTACATAGATGTTTCTATTTCTCTCCTATATGTGCTTCTCTTGGGTTCCTCTCCATCTTAGAGGCTGTGGGAATGTTTTACCCTTTTATTCATTGGCAAAACTAAAAGCCCCTCCCAAAACAATTATTTTCTTCTGGGAAAAAAAAAAAAAAGCCTCTTCCACACCTCTTCCAAAGAGTCGTTTGTCTTCCTCTCTCTCTGTCAATTTTCTTCCATCCAATGAGTAGCCTTGTGAGTGGAGGTCAGATGTGCCAAATTAATTTACTTTGTTATTTAGCATCCAGATATCTCACCTGGTCCTCTGGGTCTGTTAAAAAACACTCCCTTCAGGAAGCAAACTGGTGTAATTCATTTTCTAGTTCATCCAAGTACAGCCAGACTGTTGCTTTCCCATTCATGTCCTGTCTGTCTCATATCTGCATGGTCTGTTTTCGTATCTGAAAACAGATGGTCTCAAGCAGCACTACTGATAGGCCTGTGACCCTTCTTCACCCCCCAGGAACTTTGGCACATTTATTCTGCGTATCTGTTCACCTAGGCAGGGGAGAAACCTGCCACCTCTGCTGCAGGTGTGAGGGTCACCTTAGGTTCCCTGACAGCCCTGTATTCAGTATGCTGCTCCCGCCTGCCAGCCTGTCTCCTCACCCAGGCAGCCTCATCGGATAGCAAGTTTCATTATGTGCAGTCCATTGGGGACCCTCCTAAAAGCAATACATTCATTTCACTGTGCTAGTCTCTGACTATTAAAGCATTTTAGTCCTCTTTCTCCTTTAACCTCTCATGAGCCAAATATTCACTCTGACAAAATGCTATTCATTACAAAGTTAAGATGACTTTGACTCTGTTTCCCTTGCATATAATGCAATGAAGATGCTTTGTCCTGGATTCATCTACAGCCTGATAGTACTGTGGATAAAAACATGCCAAAGTGGGCGGTCTTTTTTCCCAAAATGGATTGAAATTACCTCTACCTAGCTATGCCTTGCTTAGATAGAGGGCAGCTGGGAAAATAAAATGGCTTTCTGCTTATTTTCAATATCCTAACCAATATATATTGCTTAAGGGAGAATGATCAGGGAAAAAAAAAGATAGAAAAATGAAACATCACTGGAATATTAAAAAAAATCAAGTCCTTTTTACTCTGCTTTTATCCACAGATATTTTTCCATACTGAGAGTTAGGAAATAGGGGAGCTTGGGGGAGTTATGGAACATCTCCAGGGCTGGGCACATGATGGATACTTAGAAAGATCTTGCTGATTGATTCATTTAAACAGAAATTATAGCTATATCTGATTTACTGTCTAAGTCAGTTGCCAGTCCAAACTCTGCCTCTGTCACATATCAGCACTGGGGAAATACATCAACTTCTTTGGGACTCATTCCTCGTCTATAAAATGGGAAAAATAGTACCTCCCTCATAAGTTTATGAGTACTAAGTGAAATAACTCAGGAAAATCCAGCCCAGCACTTAACCTACAGTAAGAAAAAATGAGTATGTATTTCCTTTTCCTGTTCTTCCTTCCTATGTAGGGAGTTAAAGAGACAAGCAGGAGAGAAGAACAAGAAGCTGGATTGTCATGAGTCTCAGAAAGAAACCTTCTTCATACCTATTTGACTCTATAGAGATGTGATCTGTCTTCTGCATAAGCTGAAAGAATCATCTGGAATAACCACAGAAAATCGGATCACTGCCTTAGATGTAGGTAAGCTCTTGTAGATGGTCCAGATAAAAAAAAAATGGAAGAAGCGGCGGGGGGCAGCAGCTCACACCTGTAATCCAAGCTCTTTGGGAGGCTGAGGCAGCCGGATCACGAGGTCAAGAAATCAAGATTAACATGGTGAAACCCCGTCTCTACTAAAAATATAAAAATTAACGGGGCGTGGTGGTGCATGCCTGTAGTCCCAGCTACTCGGGAGGCTGAGGCAGGAGAATCACTGGAACCCAGGAGGCGGAGGTTGCAGTGAGCCGAGATCACACCACTGCACTCCAGCCTGGCAACAGAGCAAGACTCCAGCTCAGAAAAAAAGGAAGAGGAATTTCTTTCTGGTCAGAATATGGGGGATAGCCACGTGTCCCACTTGTTCTGATCTTCAGTGTAAGTGATCACTCTGCTGTCTTTGGATGTCCTGGGTTTTGTAGCTGTGTTTTCATACCAACTTTACTTCTGGTTTTAACTTAACCCTTCCCTTCATTTCTCTTCTACTTCACCCATCATTCTTCGTCTTCTTACATATTTTCTACATTGCTTTATGCTATGTACCTCACAAGCCAACTTGAACCCTACTCTAATTACTTTTTTGATTAATTCAAACCTGCCTCTCCTGATTTTCTCCTCGTAGCTGTGCATGAGGCTTTCCCCTTGGAAGTTTAATGGGTACCCCTGAAGTTTGTCAATTCATGCAGCTAAAACCCTGCCTCGGGGAACAAAGGGACGATCTGTTGTTTCCCCAGCCATGGCCAGCCCCATCCCAGAACAGGGAGAAATCTGGGCTGAACATTCCAGAACAACACTAGGAAAAGCCCCATATATGGTAAGAAAATAAAAGCCAAGTCATTCATCCTCTTGCTTCTCTGTCCCATAAGAGACTTTATAAGTAATTGTTTTTCTAGAAATATTCCCACTCACTCTTTTTTAAGTCGAGTAATTTTAAAATATCTGATATTGTTAACCTAGGGAGTTCCTTGAAGACTGTGTGGAATCCATCAAGATACTATAACTTTTTTTTTTTTTTTTTAAAGACAGAATCTCGCTCTGTTGTGCCCAAGCTGGAGTGCAGTGGCACCATCTCGGCTCACTGCAACCTCCATGATTCTCCTGTCTCAGTCTCCCAGGTAGCAGCGATTACAGGTACCCGCCACCACGCCCAGCTAATTTTTTGTATATTTACCAGAGACAGGGTTTCACCATATTGGCCAGGCTGATCCCGAAGTCCCGACTTCAGGTGATCCATCCACCTCAGCACCCCAAAGTGCTGGGATTACAGGTGTGAGCCACTGCGCCCAACCTAACACCATCTCTTAATACCTTCCGAGGCTCTAGGATTACTTTTGAAGGACACCATTAGAGTACTATGACTCAACGCTAATGACGGGTGAATAAGGACAATAGAAAATTTTCCACTTTAAATCGTGTGTTTGTGCCTCAATATGTTCAGATAACTCATCAATTATTAAACAACTAGGAAAACTTCCAAGTACTGCATCAAAACATTCAACACCAGAAGGCATTCACCCAAGCAGGTTCTATTTATTGAATGCTGTTTACTATCTCTTGGCAGCTTTGTCTTTTTAGATGATGTTTAGAAGCCTCCCTAATGTATACACTGTCAACTGAGGAGATCTCTGTTTGAATTTTTCAGATAAAAAGGCTGGCAGAAACCCAAAGGCAAGTACGCTAACTTCGGATTCTCAGAGAGATAAAAGTAGGCCGTTCATCAGCAAATCCACCTTGGGTGAGTCCCTTCAATTTGCTGAATTGGTTTAGGAATACAGTTTAGTGGTAATGATTAGACCTGTCATGCCGTAAAAGTCAGAGCCTAAAATGTGAGTGTGAACAGAAAAACGAATATTCCTAGAGAAGAAAACTCACAGTATTTCAGATGTGAGTTGGTGGTATTCATTCTTGGCAGCACTGGAAATTTTGTTTTATCTTAAAATCTTTTAACTGTTTTGTTATTCTAAAAGGTAAAAGGAGTTGAAATAGGGGAGATTTTCTTTTCTTTTCTTTTTTTTTTTTGAGACGGAGTCTCGCTCTGTCGCCCAGGCTGGAGTGCAGTGGCGCGATCTTGGCTCACTGCAAGCTCCGCCTCCCGGGTTCACCCCATTCTTCTCCCTCAGGCTCCTGAGTAGCTGGGACTACAGGCGCCCACCACCATGCCCGGCTAATTTTTTTGTATTTTTAGTAAAGACAGGGTTTCACCGTGTTAGCCAGGTCTTGATCTCCTGACCTCATGATCCGCCTGCCCCAGCCTCCCAAAGTATTGGGATTACAGACATGAGTCACCACGCCGAAATAGGGGAGATTTTATTCGGTGTATCTAATTTTTTTTTTCACCATATGCAAATATAAAGCCCTGGCTTTCAAAAACGTACACAGTTGAGTAACATTTTGGGTGTAAAATTGTGAACTTATTAGGTCTGCTCATTGATTTCCGTTTGAGACGAGCATTTTCTTGGAGACTTACTTTCAAAGGAATAAAGAATGAGACATGAGAATGAAGAAAAGAGGCACTTGGTGGAAAAACAGATCCATCACAATCTCATGAATGACTGACTGTGGCTCTGAATTTGCAACCGTCTCAGAAATGGCCACAAATTTTGGTGTGTGGAAGATGTTAAAGTAAAGCAACCATCCCAATGAATCATGGGGGCCCCTGCATAGGACACAGGAATCAACGGGCATGTGCATTTACAAGGAGGCTGCTGCGGTGGCTGTTTCCACCAAAGTCACTGAGAAGGCCGGATCCTACTTCTGTCTCAGGCCAGAGGCAGGTAGAGAAGGCTGGGCGTCCTCTGTGTAGGTAGGGAAGGGAAGGATAGCAGATTCTCACTGGGGGTATCCACCAGCAGCTTTTGCACTCTCACCATCAACTTCGCTCCCAACCACAGTGGAGGCTCACGTGGCATTCCTGGGTCACTGGATGCCAAGTTGCATAGGTAACAGTGCTAGCCAAGCAATTAAATGGCTTTTCTATGTTTACCCCCATTTCCTAGAGAGACAAATGAAAGCGCAGAGAGGTTAAAGAACTTGCCTAAATCCACCTGAAGCAACACATTGGCTGGGAATTTACTAAAACCCATCTATTTCAAATTCCAGTTCCATGGGTAATCATTCAACAGGGCTGTTGCTAAGGGGAGCAGGACATGTGTGCCTTAGAGTGTATAATCCCATAATTCAGGAATCAATAAAGCCCACACAATTTTTATCCTAACATATAGAGGCATACAGGGAAAATATTTCTAGTTTGTTTTGTGTGTGTGTGATACAAGGTCTCACTCTGTTGCCCAGGCTGGAGTGCAGGAGTGCAGTCACGGTTCACTGCAGCCTCAACCTCCTCAGGCTTAGATGGTCCTCCCACCTCAGCTCCATGAGTAGTTGGGGCTACAGGCGTGTGCCACCATGCCTGGCTAAATATATATATATTTTTTGTACTTTTTGTAGAGACAAGGTCTCATTATGTTGCCCAGACTAGTCTCGAACTCTTAGGCTCAAGTGATCCTCCTGCCTCAGCCTCCCAAAGTGCTGGGATTACAGAAGTGAGCCACTGTGCCCAGTTTCCAGTTTTCTTTAACTTTTTTCTTTTTTCTTTTTTTTTTTTTTTTTTTTGGTGAGACAGAGTCTTACTCTTCACCCAGGCTGGAGTGCAGTGGCACGATCTCGGCTCACTGCAACCTTCGTCTCCTGGGTTCAAGCAATTCTCCTGCCTCAGCCTCCTGAGTAGCTGAGACTACTGGTGCCTGCCACCATGCCTGGCTTATTTTTGTTTTTTCAGTAGAGACAGGGTTTCGCTGAGTTGGTCAGGCTGGTCTCGAACTCCTGACCTCAGGTGATCTGCCTGACTTGGCTTCCCAAAGTGCTGGGATTACAGATGTGAGCCACTGTGCCCAGCTTCCAGTTTTCTTGAGGGGGAAAAGAAAAATACATGAAAATCTCTTAAACTATTTAAAAGAAAGATACTGGCCAAGTGCAGTAGTGCATGCCTGTAATCTCAGCACTTTGGGAGGCTGAGGTGGGCGAATCATGAGGTCAGGAGTTTGAGACAAGCCTGGCCAACATAGTGAAACCCTGTCTCTACTAAAAATACAAAAAATTAACTGGGAGTGGTGGCAAGCACCTGTAATCCCAGCTACACAGGAGGCTGAGGCAGGAGAATCACTTGAATGCAGGAGGTGGAGGTTGCAGTGAGCTGAGATCTCGAGACTGCACTCCAGCCCAGGCGACAGTGTGAGATTCCGTCTCAAAAAAATTTGAAAAAAGATATTTCACAAATTCAGAGTATTATTGTTATTTGATTACAATATTTTGTCACCTGCATTTCTAAGAAATATCATACTACTTAACCTCTAGGTACATAAAAGAAGCACAGAATATTGGCTCTGTTTAGAACAATTGAGGAATTAGGGCTGTATCTTCTTTTGGTGACAATTCATAAGGAACTCATCATATCTCTGCTATATCACCTGAAGATATATATTTTGAAACTAGCCATGGTAAAGTCCTTGATTAATAGCAATGCTATCTCTAATACAAATGGAAAAACAGATATAAATAATTTTGATAGTGTCATACCCCTTTCCTACCTTGTTTCTCATTCTATGAGAGCAATGCCATTTTTCCCTGAACAGTGGGCCTAAGAAAGAGTTTCATTTTTCTTTTACACTTCCCCAGAGGAGCAAATATCACAAGAAACAGAGTTGCATAAACCAAAAGCAATTTTTATACCTAAACTATTCAGAAATGCTCAGACTGCAGAACCATTATTAGCATTCAATTGTACATTTTGTTCCTAACAAGCACTCCTCGGTCCTACAAAAGATAATAATTGTTGTTCTTCTTCACCTACTTTAAATTAATCTGTCCTTGGGGAGGTCACAGGACTGCCAGGTTAGCAGCTCTGGAATCTAGCTTCATAATTGTACTGAAGTATGGCCTTACAAGCTTCCCTTTAGCAGTCACTTTTTAAAACATAAAAATAAAAAATAAAAACCCTGATTCTCTTCAAATCCTGTTAGCAATTAGGCAGTGAGGCCAGGCATGGTGGCTCACATCTGTAATCCCAGCACTTTGGGAGGTCGAGGTGGGCAGATTACCAGGTCAAGAGATCGAGACCATCCTGGCCAACATGGTGAAACTCTGTTTCTACTAAAAATACAAAAATTAGCCCAGCATGGTGGTGGGGTGCCTGTAGTCCCAGCTACACGGTAGGCTTAGGCAGGATAATTGCTTGAACCCAGGAGGCAGAGGTTGCAGTGAGTCGAGATCATGCCACTGCACTCCAGCCTGGTGACTGAACGAGACTCCGTCTCACAAAAAAAAAAAAAAAAAAAAAAGAAAAAGAAAAAGAAATTGGGCACTAGACGTTGATTTCTTAATTACACGTGTAAGGAGACAGAGCCTTCTGTTCTTTGCTGGGGATTAACAGATATTCACAGAGCCTTATGATGTGCCATTATTCTGAGTATCTGGGACTACAGGCATGTGCCACCATGGCAGACTAATTTTTGTATTTTTAGTAGAGACGGGGGCTTCACCATGTTGGCCAGGGTTGTCTCAAACTCCTGACCTCAGGTGATCCACCCGCCTTGGCCTCCCAAAGTGCTGGGATTACAGGCATCAGCCACTGCACCCGGCCTGCTTACTATATTTTTTAATATTTACAACAGTCTACTGAAATGGATTATATCTCGCTCAATTAAGAGAGTAGAATTTGAAGTTCACCTGGTAACCAGTGGAGCCAGATTTCACAGTGATAGCTCAGTAGCTCAGAACACATCCTTTCGATGATTTCATGCAACTCTCAGGGGAGTGATCACTGTGTCCTCCCCTCTCTGCTAAAACCTTGCTCTGGTGGGAGCATGTGGATGGGTCTAGGTGGTCAAGCAGCTTTTGGGTCCAGGCAGTAAGAACTATATTTATGTATGCGTGCAGGGATCCACATATTCGATTAAGCTCTTCAAGCTTTGACCCAACAGGTCAAATCCAAGAAATTACAGAATAAAGTACTTCCCTCTGGGACCTTGTGCAAACTAAACCCTGGAAAAATATTCATGGTTACAACCAAAGCCTATTACAGAGTCCAGAAACAATTACAGGATGTGCTGAACAGAAAGAATAGCCATTCACTGAGTCAGGCTGTGCTCATAGCATAGAGACAAGAGCTGAGCGAAGCTGAGAGGAAGCAGAATTAGTCAAAATTCAGAACAGAGAGACCCAAGCTGGTTGGAGACAGCCGGCAGCTGCTGTGCTCAGTACCCAGGAAGCAGTCACTTTTTGAAGTGATAGCTTTAAATCCTGGCCTTATTCGACCTTATTTTAAATGCATTTCACCCTAGGAGGCTGAGAAGCTGCATGGATCCTTCCAAGGATCTGACCAGTATTTGGTGATTCTAGAGAAAGCTGTGAAGGGAAGTCTGACTGTTAGTTTAAACCTTTGTGTGGCCACAGTCAAGCACAGTGGTGAGATCAGAGGGGCTTGATAAATATTTGTTGAAGACAGGAAGGAAAGGAAGGAGAAAATGGGCCAGATTTAAACATCTGAAACATGTCTGGAATCCAGAATTATGTGTCAGGAAGAGACAGAAAAAGCCACAGCCGAGCGCCCAGCTGTGGAATGGAAGTTGTCAGAAAAGGGCTTCTGACTAGGGAACCATTCACCAGCAGCCTGGATTGACGGACTCTTCCATCGTGAAGAAAGGCTGAGATGCAAGATGAAAAATCCAGTTCTTGGAAGCA